CTGTGGGAGAGAGTGGGAGATAGGCCTCAGGAGTAGGCAGGAGTGACAAGGAGAGCTCGCATGCGATGTGATGTGAAGTCAGACTGTGTCTTGTAGATGAAAGAGTCAGATCTGTATCTCAGACGTAGCAGGACAGCAACACTGGGGGATGGACCTGGGGTAAAAGGTGGGCAGAGGGCTTGGTGTCAGGATGCAGAAGGAAGAGATGAAGACACATAGACCATTTTGGGTATCCATGGCAATAGTCAAGATGACAATAATGGATTTGAACAAAGGGGAAAGGTGGGAGAAGTATTTAGGGAGGTGGAACTGGCAGGTCTTGGGGATTTACTGGATGTTAGAGGTGAAGAAAGAGGAGGTTTATGAACTCTGTGGCTGAGTTATAGGTGTCTACTAAAGACGCTGGCTGTCAGAAGGTATTCTTAAGGAGTGATACCAAACTGAGTAGCCGGACTCAGACGAAAATTGCTTTTAAAATGGAGGTGTCGTAGGTACCTAGACCAGCTAAACATCCCCTTAGCGGTCCCTGACCTAACTAGCCTATTCTTGGCTCAGTGTAGCAGCAGGCCTCTGTGGGAAGATTTGTGAGTGGGGCGGGGGTATTCAGGAATCTGAAAAGACAACTTGGGAAAGCTAGGTCTTAAGTTGGATTCCGAAGGGCGGGCTGTGGGATGGCTGGGGATGAAGAAAGGGCGTTTCCGATAGGAAGCAGGAACGGAAACAGACACAGTGAACGGGAATCCAGAGCCGGCAATGGGCAATGGGCAAGAAGCGCTCCGCGGTCAGGCCGAGAATGGCTAGGGCGCACGGGCCGCTAATGTTGGGAGGAGTGGGAGACGAAGCTCAACAAACACCCGCGGTCACTCTGAAGAGAGACCTTACCGGCGGCGGGGAGCCATGAAAACCTTTTAGGCAAAGGGAGTGACAGGGTGACATTCAAACAAGGTGGCTCGGGCGGTGGCGCGCAGGAACCCTGCGCGGGGCGATGGCGCGGGCAGCCCTGCCGCCGTTCTGCCCGAGCCACCAAAGGCCAAATGCTCCAGGCCTGGGCGCTTAAGCGGGAACCAGCCTCTTCCTCAAGGACGCGCAGCCTACTGAGGGCAAGCAAGAAGAGAGGCAGTTGAGCCGCTTTTCGTCCCTCTCGTTTCTGGAGCAGTGAGGGCTGGCCCAGGGCCTGGGCGGTGGAGAGGCGGCGCGCAACCCGTGTGCCGCACACTGCTTGTGGCTCCTGCACCAGGCGCGTTCACCCGTCTGTCTGTATTTCCCAATTCCTTCGCCTTGTTCTTACTTTTCAGTGTAGCTGGAGGCACCTAATGAATGCTAGCAAATCAAATAACATGTTATTTAAACACCATGTCTTCCTGAAGCCATGGGTGTTCTTTGCTCTAAGTGGGCTTGATGTGCTTTCCACTGAGCTGTTTCCATCTCTGAGCAATCAGCCTACCTACGTATATAGCACATACAGTATTAACTGAAGTTCATATAAATCGGAGTCTAGTATCTTTTATGAAATATGTTAGTTTAAATGAAAAAATAAAGGAAGTACTACAAAATCACCTGTCAAACAGGCACATAGATAAAAGATATATGGGCTTGGTTAAAATGTAACTCTGTATTCTATCCATTAAATTTAATTAAGAGTTAGCTAAAGGGCTTACTATGTGCCAGCTACTTGACTGGCCATTAGGGTAAGATGAACAATACACAATCTCAGTCCTGAGAACTTTTTTCAATAGACTTTATGGGCAGGTGATGAAAAGTTTCCCTAACCAGATGTCTCCTTTTCTCCACTGCTCACTTTAGTTCCTACTACAGTCACTTCTTACTTGCACTATCCCCGTGTTTTGACCAGTCCTTCCCTCTCATTCTATTCTACTCATAGCACCTGAGCAAACCTCTGAAAGGTGGGTCATATCACATTATGCTTTCCCTTCTATCTCTGTGAAATTCTAAGTTCTTAATCTTGGCCCATAAGGTCTCCTATGATCTGACTTGGATGTTCTCTATAATCATTTCCCTTACTCCACTCACATTTGGCTTGTTTACTGTTCCCAGAATATTCTAAACATACTCCCACCTCAGACTCTTGTCCTTGTTCCCTGTGCCTGGACTCCTCCCCACCTCCAGACAGCTCACGGCGTGGTCTCCGCATCACTCTCCACAGGTCTCTGCTCAGAGGGCATATTAACAACGAAGCCTTCTCTGACCATCTGGCACTTCCTAACCTCCCTTTCCCTGCTTTATTTTTCATAAAAGCACTTATTCAATGAAATGCATTTATTATTACTGCCACTTATCTGTGTATTCTCTGCCTCCCCCAGCAATAATGGAAGCTCCACAGAAGAGGGTCTGTTTGGTTTGCTCCTATGTTCCCATTACTTAGAACGCTGACTGCTGAGTGCTCAGTGCTCAACAAATACTTCTTAAATGAACTGAGTGGATGATTGGGAATGACACTTTGGATTTTAGGGGCACAAAGAGGAGGGTAATGGCTCATCCTGAGAGGGATGAGGGGATCAGAGAAGGCTTTCTTCTACAAGTGATATTTTGGCTGAGTCTTTGATCATATTTTCATGCATTCACATTCATTTATTCAGCACATTCTCATGATGTTTCCTCTGTGCCAGGGACTCTTCCAGGACATGAATGCAGCTGTCATGAAGACAGACAATCCTCTGTCCTTTGGAACTCACAATCTGGTGGGAGAAAGATGATAAGCAAGATGATACACAAGTAAACAAAAATATCTGATGCAATGCAAATAACTAAAATAGTGTAAGATAAAAGAGGCGGTTACTTTGGATGGGTCCTTAGGGAAGCATCTCTAGGAAGTGACCTTTCAGTGGGGACTGAGGGACACGAAGAAAGCAGCCACGGGAAGATGAAGGGGGTAAGTATTCCAGCACAGAGAATAGCCAGGGCAAATGTTTTAAGTGGGAATGGGCTTAGGGTGTTTTTGGGACCAAGAGAAGCACATGGAGCCACAGGGCAGCAGGCAGATGGGGAGAGGCACAGCCTGAGACCCGACGGGAGGCGTGGTAAGGAGGAGGACCCAGGAGGCGAAGCAGGGAGGAGCCGGGCTGGAAAGCGCGCCAGGCAGACAGCACAGCGCCAGCAAAGGCAAGCAGGCGCGAAGCAGATTTGGTACGTTTGAGCTACTCTAGGAAACTCACTTTTCCGAGTTCCATGCACAATGGAATCAGGAACACTAAGGGGGTAAACAGTCTTTTCATGAAACTTCTGGCACCATATTTTGCTGCAGTTGACAGAAGAGAACTCTTTCTCTAAAAAACATCCCCAGGGTGGGCTATAATGAATCTACCATAAAAGACTGTACTAAAAGTATATTCTCAGATTCTTAGAAGATTCAGATATTATGTCTTTGACCTCCTGCTAAGTCTAGAGCTGAGAAGCAAAAGTAATCTCACATATTTTATTTTACTCTAAACACAGCCTCAGACAGGCTAGCTGTTGCGCCCATTCGAGACACCGCACTGAAGGACGTGTAGAGAGCTGGCCCGGCCACGTGCTCCCTGCCTGCGCTGCCTCCTCTGCTGCCCCGCGCCTCCTGCCTAGAACAAACCTGCCCCCAGGGTATTCTACGGCCTTGCCCTCTACAGTTTTCCCTTTGCTGTATCTGTCTTCTCCCGTGCCTGCCTCTAATTCAGAAAATATACTTTTCTTTTTCCTCCCGCCCTCAGCTAATCCTAGTCAACACCATGTGTTATGGAGGCTGTTCTATAGCTCAACAACTTCTTTCCTCTGCTGACAAAAGTGATGCAAAACAAAACAAACTCAAAGATGGGATTAATATGCTTGGACGCCTTTCTCCCTCTACGGTAATTGAGTCCCTGAGGAGTGACTAAGTCTTTGGGAATTTTGACAGATGGAAGTTTTGTAACAATTGGGATCCTGTTATCAGCAGAACCACAGTCCTCAGAGAAGGTAGTGATGAATTTATGACAAGGAATTTAATTTAGGTTCACAATTTATCAAGTAAATGGTGACTTATGGTGACTACTCAATATGTGTGTCTGCTATTGGCTGACATTGTGCGTTGAGCTTGAAACCATTTTGAGACTATTACTTTACACATTATATTGAAGGCATCACGTGGTATTAGAAGGCATCACGTGGTATTAGAAGGCATCACGTGGTATTAGAAGGCATCACAAGATATATATTTATCCAGGAGGAAACGAACTAAGGATGAAATTTTATTCCATGAACAACAGTGTGTTTTGCACCACAAAACTCTATTACATATTCATCATTTAACAATGTAAATGTGTAGTTTATATAGCACCAGAGAGTTAAGATTTCCATTGTACACGAGGTTGAAAAATTCCAACTAAATAATGTTATCTGTTGCAGGAGCCATTTACTCTTTCAGTTTTTGGATATCCAAGATCTGTCCAAAGTTTTCAAGTACTTTTTCATTAGGTGGCAAAATCAATGCAGTATAAAAATGTTAGAATGTTCATGAACTTTAGCAATGAAGTTTGCAGTTACTCTCTCTCAAAAGGCTAATTTTTTTTTTTTTTTGTAAATGGTAAAGAATGCTCAGGAGAAATGATATTCTACAATGTGAATAAAAACTAAAAGGCAAGATAGCAGGCAAGGACTGACCAGGCTGCTGAAAGGAAATAATTTTTAAAAGTTGGTCTTGATTTTACTTGCAATACCTTTCTAGAAACCATAGCTTAAACTCCAGTCCTCAGCAACTTTTATTTTTTGATAATAGTGGAGACTGTCAAAAAAGCAAAGAAAAAGATGAGCCAATAGCAGGCAGGGTCCAAGAATCACAGCATAAAAGCACAAAACATGAAAAATGACTAAATATTTTACTTCCATTTGCCAATGTTTCTTTTTACTCATACTTAAAGACATGAAAATTTTCAGGGCTTAAAAGTTGTCTTTTATACTACCCAAGCATGACAAGAAACAAACATCAGTTATTTGGCTGACATAACTGAAAACAAAATTAGTACTAGAGTTACCTGAAATTCCAATCCATAGTTTTCTCTGCAGAATTCTCTCAGTTTAGGGTACACATTTTCTCTTAGTGCCTGTCTTTCTGCTCCCGTGTCTACAGTAGAAAAACAAACACATAGAAAGTGAATATTCCATAGATATATTTCTAGAAAAAAATGAAAACTTAAAATGTTAACATTGATACAATTAAGCTGGGGTGCTGAGTTGTAAAGTAACAGGACATCTGGCTGCTGGTATAGATCTGCTCTTAATTGCACAGAGATCCACCCACTGGCATGGTTAGGAAGTCTGTAGGATGGCCCTCCGGTCAGTTCTGTGTGTGCGGGCAGGTCTGAGAATTCACAGTTGATTCTTATGCTCACACAGGCCTTCACATGGAGCTCTTAAATAGCTATGACCACACTGTCTTTGGAAGAGGCATGAAAAAATATTCTAGGGCTATGTGGTGTTTTAGCTCCACAAAATATAAAAGTTTCAAAGCACACATACACACACATTAATTTTGTTACTGATTTCCAAAAAAACTCAGACACTATCATTGTTACCTACAGCATTTAGAAATAATACAACTTTTACAAAATTCAGCACGGTGTGGAAGCAAATGTCAAAAACTAGCAGATCCCACCCACTGTAGATTCGACTGTCCAGTGGAATTTAACATCTCCCACCCGGGGCTGAGGGACTTACTGTTATATCAGAGACAAGAACTATTTTACATGTGTCACACCATTTAAAAGTTCTGAAATAAAGTATTTTTGTTATCTCCTGTTATTAAAAAAATACAAGAAGCAGAGAACCTGAAACCGGAAGAATTGCAGAACATGCACGTATTTAATGTTGAATGTTTGCACAGAAAGGGATTCTAAAGCCACCTGTGTCGAACAATTCTGCTGTATCAATGATGATAGTGTAAGATTCTTACAGCAAAGAGAAGCTGCTCCTTGCCCAACTATCGTTAGTGAAACACACGAAGCACAGCTTTAAAAAAAAAGGTTAATGTGTTATCCTGTGAAAAGTACCATTTGCTAAATGTACCTCGATCCCAGCCATAACTATAAAACACTTGCACACCACATAATTTTTAACAAAGATGCCATTTTAAAAGAGTTTCCTTACTATTCTCAAGCAAATCTCTCCATGAAAATTCAGCCATATGCTGTGTTGCCCTATTCTATTTTCCTACTGTTCTCGAGCCTATTTAGAGAAGGAAATAACTAACCAGGAGAGTCTGAAATGCAGCTGCAGGCTGCAGAGTGACAGGAACCAGTGTTTATGTGGAAATCAAAGATCCAGAGGAATACAAGGTCTTCTAGATTATCCTGCGATCTCGGCCTTAGGTCCAGTGAGGCTCTAAGCCCAAAGGCAGAGCAGAGCGCCGCCGGCCGGACCCGCGGCAGTGTGTCACGTGCTCGCATAACTTCTGTGATCTTGATGCCGGGTGCCCGTCCCTCCTGGCCCATTTTAAGAGCTGAAAATGATAGCTTCACAATAAAGCTGATGATATTCAATAAATCTCTCTAAAAGCCTTTAGCAGAACTTTAAAACCCAAATAACAAAGAAGTCACTTTAAAAAATTAATACAACTAGATGCAGAAGGTGAGAATGTATCAAGTAAGAGTTATTGTTAAGAAATTCTGGGGCCGGGCGCTGTGGCTCACGCCTGTAATCCTAGCTCTTGGGAGGCCGAGGCGGGCGGATTGCTCCAGGTCAGGAGTTCAAAACCAGCCTGAGCAAGAGCGAGACCCCGTCTCTACTATAAATAGAAAGAAATTAATTGGCCAACTGATATATATATAAAAAATTAGCCGGGCATAGTGGCGCATGCCTGTAGTCCCAGCTACTCGGGAGGCTGAGGCAGAAGGATCGCTCGAGCCCAGGAGTTTGAGGTTGCTGTGAGCTAGGCTGACGCCACGGCACTCACTCTAGCCTGGACAACAAAGCGAGACTCTGTCTCAAAATAAAAAATAAAAAAAAAAAAAGAAATTCTGAAAAATAGTACACGAATTATGGAATAATTTAAGGAACAGAAATGTCTTGTTCCTTAAAAAATGTTATTATAAGTCTTATTACTAGGTACTGAGAGCTGAAAGTACAATGACAAGGAGGATAAGACAGGAACATGGCACTCAGCACTAACAGTTACTGAGTGCTTACTGTAATCCAGTAGCGCGCTAAGTGCTTTTACTTGTATTTTCTTAGTCACTTCAGACAACGACCCTATGAAACAGGTAAAATTATTATTCTAGGTTTTTTTAGACAAGGGTATCACAGGATAGAGTAGTCAAGAAACTTGCCCAAGATCATATGGCCACTAAGCTGGAAAACCCAGATTTGAATCCAGGAAGCCATACACCACAGTTTGCTCTAATCATGGAAATATGCAACTGTGAAAAAAGAATCAATTATTAAAAATGACCAATGTAATAAACAAAACAACCAAGGGATGGTGAAGTCCTAAAACTTATGAAATAAAAAAAATTTGAGTTATCATTGATGGATTCTTCACTTTCTATAATCCACCCTTCCAACACATCTGTAAGTTCTCTCTCTACCTCTAAACAAATCCTGAATTAGTCTACTTCTGTCGTCTCTGTGACTAGATGGGTGCCACATTCATCTTCATCTGGACTCCATCTCCCTGTTTTCATACTTGCCCCTTTAATCCACTCTCCACAGAGCAGCTGGACTATAAAAATGTAAATCAGAACACATCACTACCTTGTTTATAACTCTCCAGTGGCTTTTCGTGGAACCTGGAATGAAATCCACACTCCTTATGTTGAATGTTCTCTCTCTCCCTAAGCTCACTTCTTACCACACTCCCTGTTTACGTCCCGCCAGCAGACCTAGTCTTCGTTTGGTTCCCGGATCACACTCCCACTGGTGAGCCCCTGTTGTAGCTGTGACTTCCTCTTGGAATGCTTTGTCCTGCGCTCATCTCGTGGCATCTCCTATCATTCAAACGTCAGCTTTAATGCCACATCCTCAGAGAGGCCCTCTCTGAGCACTCCTGCTACAGAAGCCACTGAACCACTCTGTACCACCTTATTTTAATTTTGTTCAATACTCATACCTATTGTTGTTTATTTTCACTGTTTGTCTTCCCTACTAAAATGTGAGCTCAAAGGAGGTTGGGACCTGCTTTTGTCTCCTTCACTGCTGAAACCTCAGAGTCGCACTCAGTTAATGAACAAGGGGATAAAGAAGCCACACACGCACCAGCGACACAAATGGGCTGGCAGGCACTGCCGCCCTGCAATTATGTCCAGAAACAGAAAGGCTTCCTCTGTTACAGCTGGTCATTGGATGGATTTAAAAGCAAGACTATGTGAAAATTTGGAAACTAAACAGTGGGATTTAGAAAGTTGGTGTATGAGGTAAATGAATGAACTGATTTCTGGGTTCTGTGTTTGTGGCAGAATATAAACCAAATTATTTAAAACTTTTCTAAATATGTGAAGGAAGTGAACGCACATATCTGATGGGCATTCTGTTCTCTTATATTACAAAAATAACTCAGATTTTCCTATATTTGTATTAATATATGATGACTGGCTCTGGAAATGTAAAACTAAGATAGAATGGATTAATTACTATGGGTGACAGATAAGCTGGCTTAATTAAATAAAAAAACCTGATTCATAAAACAGCAAATCCTGATGGTTGGCAATTAAAAACATGAGAATGTCACGAGCAGGAAAAATTAGCCCACAGACTCTCACACATCAAAAGGGACCTCTTTAAAAAGTGTTGATCAGAGACAAGGTACGTCATCATTTTTTTATACATAGTCATCACATCCATTTGTATCTGCCCAGCTCCTTAATGCTTTCAAAAGGTGCATTAATACTTTGGCAGCACTATTAGGCTTTTAAGAATTTTCTTCCCAAATGATTGTTTGGTGATTTCAAAGTTAATGAAGGTCTCTGTGCAGTGTCTGAGTTACTCACAGGAAGTACATTAGTTGGGGGGAGAATTATTAATCAATACCATTATCCTTGAAACATCTTGATTTGACTTCAATAACGGTTTAGATTAATTTCAAATTTTTATTAAAGGTAGAAAGAAGAGTGCTGAAAGGGCCACACTGGATTGGGACCTCACATAGCTCCAGCCTTGCCCAAACTTAAGGCATGGATATTAGATTGAGTCACTTTTCCTATACTCTTGGCAGCTCAGAAGATCTGTTTAGGGTCTAACACATGTCCTCTGATAAAACTGTCACTGTAGCCTGGTCTCCCAGGTCTCCGGACCTTGGCTTTTGCCTGGATTGTCTCTCTTACCTCACCTCTTACCGGTGATTCATTTGGACAGCCTCTCTGGCTTTCTGGGTGGTTGTTGAGGTCAATTTCTTGTTTGGCAGCTTCCCAAGGTGCTGTCTCTTCTCTATGTCCCTCTGATACATCTTCCATACCTAACTAGCCACACCCACCCTTCCTTATTTCAATGTCAGCAAACCTTGTCAATTTTATGTCACAAATCTCTTTTTAATTTGGCCACTATTTTCACACTCACCCTCTATCTCAGCCAAAAGAAGTGAAAACTCTATTTGATTGACCTATTTTGTGTCCCTCCCTCAGCAGTCTGATGCTCCCCTAGAGCTGCCGGCAATAATTCCAAGACAAAACAAAGCCTTGCTGACATCTGGCGGTCAGAGGATGAAGACTAGAATGCTCAGCAGGTGTAAACACATTCTTTAGCAAAGTTCCATCTTCCATGGCTGGTCCCCAAGTACCCTCTAAAGTCTGAGTTTTCAGATATTACTTGATCTTGAGCCTTGTTCTCATACAAACTGCTTCCATGCTCAGAAGCTCCCATCTACTGCATCACCCTTGTTTGGTTGATTCTGCCCTTCTGAGACCCAGTCAAATGCAGCAAGGTCTGTGAACTCTTGCTAGGGACAGGCATGTCCGCTCTAGGTCACCCCAAGCACTCTGCTCACTGCCATGTAACATCACATATTGGGATGTATTGTGAATTACTATAATTATTATTTTTTGTTTGGATCCTCCATTAGACTATGAATTCATGGAAGGCAGGAACTTTCTCATACATCTTTACATCTTAGAAATTAGAGTAGGATCTCAATGGGAG